AACTGGTTATTAAGATCTTAGCTCAAAAGCACAGCTTTCTGCACTTGTGACACGGTTGTGATACTTTTCTTCCATAATCAATTATCTTATTGATGGTGATTGCTGAGTTGCTTCACTTATCACTTAAAAACCATCAGTATTTGAAGCCATTGTGGAAGAAATGTATGGGTCTCCATTGCTTATGAAAATGTTGACATTTGAGAGAGAATTAAGCAGTGGTGGTGATGTTAAAAGCGACTCCTTGTCTAAATAAAAAGTAATTTTAATGCATAACTCGAAACAATGTTAACTGGGAAAAGAGCTGAGATACAGATCTTTTCTAAGGATGGAAGATTTAATTTCTCTAAAAACCCCAGTTTTTACCCTCTTATAGTAATAACAGCATAAACCCTATCTAAAGTCTGTTGGACTGTTGATATATTCTCGGGACCGAGCTTCTTTTCTTATTTCTACCCACTCTACATTCCAGTCTGTCTTTGGTGCGGCGGTGCGGGGCATTCCTTGTGAATAAAGATCAAGCTCTCTGGTTTGTGTAGTTACAGTTGTAAGTGTTTACATATAGTTGTCAGGCTCTGAGTAACTCTGGGTCTGTTCATATAACCTATAACACTGCTTCCAGCAAAAGCTTTAGTTGGCTCCCAACATTAACAAAAATAAACAATTTAAAGGTCACAGGTGAAGCAATGATACCCTGAAGAATCTCTGAGAGCCCTTTGTCAAATCTGTTGTAGAGCCGCCAGTTTGGCAGAGAGCGCCCCTGGTGGTCATCTTCTGGAAGTGCACAGGTCTCTGTGAGCTCAACCGGAAGAAGTGCTCAAATTAAAGAAAGCCTAGCATGTTGCCAAATTCCGCTGCTCAAGAGGCTGGTGACCCTTGGGTTATCCACACCAACTCACGTTCTCTTTGGACCAGCTGTTCCTCGTATCTCCAAATCAGCAAGCAAAGACGCTCTGTCACCGAGGTATGGCACACAATGGCAGACCCAGAGGTCCTTAGGGCTCTGCATGGGGCACCCAGGGAAATACCTTCCTGACTCGGAAATCTCACAGGCAAGCAGATGCATCGCAGTAGTCATAATATTTATGTCTAACTTTTTACATTAGATAATCACCTCCATGTAAGAAAAGGTTATAATTTTTTTAAATTGTAGTTCTCTAGGTCTTGGGAAATTTATTCTCACCAATTTTTTTTTCACAATTCTCTGATAATGAAATCCAGGATTTTGTATAGTTTACACCCAATGTCTGTAACATCCATGGAGGATGAGCCAAAGTTCAGTTTATGTATTCACGAGTTATAGCATGTTGTAGCATCTGTATTTTTATTTTTAAAAAAATAAGCCAGGTCAAAAAATTAAAAAATAAGCACTCTTCTTATCTCACTGCTCTGTGATTCCAAGGAAGATCCCAAGTTCAAACCCAGGTCATTCAACTTAGTGACAGAATGAAACTCTGCCTAAAAATATATAAAAATAAAAATTTGAAAGGGGCTGGGGATGTAGCTCAGTGCAGAGGTCCTGGATTAAAAATCCATATTACAGCAAAAATAGAGACAAACAATCCCAAACAAAAAGAACTATGATAGTCGCTGTGAGCAAAGCAAACTCTCTCTATTTGATTGATGTTATGTAAATTTCCATCTGTCTTAGGTTCTACAATTGAGTAAAAATACCAGTTCCATCTGTGTATACAGTTTGCATATGTTCATGCCTGTGTGTGCCGTATTTCCTCCCCCCAGTCTGGCTTACATTTTGGTATCCATTGCAATGCCTATACTGCATCTTTTATGAATCACAACATTGGCCCCGTGTCCCTGGTCACTGCTGCTCTTTCTTTATGTCCTTTGCAGTCTTCAAAGGACTAGTCATTAGACCAAGAAACCAGAAGTCTAAAAGAGCATTATTCTTAAGTACAATAGCTTGAGGGTATTTCAAGGTATTCTAGTGACATTTAAACAGCAAAATCAATCCTCTTCAAATCTCTGGGCCGCATCCCAATGTCATCACTGAGGTTGACAACACTTGCTTATAAAGCCTGTCACAGGCTTTTCACTGTCACTTCTAAAAGGCTCATTGCTCTTCTCCACGGACCAGAGAAAATAGAGTGAGTCCTCATTGCCATTAAACATGCTACATTCCTGGTTAATTTGTATTTCCTGGATTTACAAGGTACTGTAATACCTGATCTTAGCATATAAACTCCTTAAATTCTCCAGCAGAAACTTAAGTGTGCCTTAAACTTGAGTTTTAAAATGGAAATTAATTCCTGGTGCCAGGATATAGTCTTTGAGGTCAAAGTTGACAGGACAGGAGAGGTCCGCCCCATCCAATAGACTTTCCAGCTGGGTGTAGATTCCACCCTTGCAAGCCAAAGTCAGCAGAGTTGGGAATCATAAACAGGAGGCCTGGAACAGTCCCCTCAACCTTAGGCAACTGAAATCTGGCAGGGAGAGTCTGACAGGCAATTCAAACAGCTCCCAGCACATCTGTGCAAGTGAGGAAGGCTCTAATAGAGCCAGTCAAAACCAGCAGGGGAGTTTAGATAGAAAAGACTGGAAAGCAGTCCCTTGGCACCAGCGTTGCCCAACTCCACGTGCTGAATGTCCAGGATTAGACCAAGTACTGTGCCAGGTGGTATGGAGGAAGGGAGTGGAGACTGTGCGCCTCTGTGCCCTTAGAAAGCTTAAATCATCTTGGTTTGCAGGCCCGAGGGAAGACAGAGACATGTTTCTTAGGACGTTGCTGTAACCCCAAATCATCTAACGCTTTATCTCCTCATTGATATTATGAACAGTACAGGCTATATTTTTAGTCAGATGCGACCATTCATTGTTTTCAACCCACAGACCCTTATTATGTTTAATAACTATTGGTGGAAGGTAAAGAACCACTCAAAATGAAAAGGACAGACAAAAATGGTTAATGTTTGAACTGTTTGAATTGGAAAAGGGATTCTAAAAACTAAGAAATTAGCCCAGAACTAAGATAACAACAAAAAGCAAATAGACTGAAATGGCCTATGGTGAAGAAAGAGAAAAGCAGAGGGGCTTTACAAATATCTTCAAGGGGAATACTCTAGAGAGCTTGTGGTTAAAGAGAAAGATTGCAGTGGCTGCTGAGGTCTAAATGGGAAGCTGAATTTCAGGAATGTGCATGGACTGGTTGCTAAATAGAGCCATCATTAAACCGTAAAATATGCATACTTAATGATTAAATAGTGTTAAAAGTAATAAACAGTCAAAGCACATCACTTCCTGACCACTACATTTTACACCCTAGGAGTCATTTGTGTTGCTCTATCCGTGTAATGGAAATGCGACACAGCCCTGCCTACCCCACATTCCTAGCGACGTCAGAACAATAGACTAAAGTCTGCCACAGTGACTTTGCCATGAAAACTGGCAAAATCTGAAAACACAAGCTTGGGTTTTCATTGCTTGTCTAGACTTAAGAAAGTGAGGATGGAGAGAGTATTTCTAATGTGGATTAAGCTTACAACCTGGGACCAAGAGATGAAGAGAGCAGGGAAGAGGAATGGAAAGAAATGAGGTGTGCTACGTACATGTACCAACTCCCCGCAGTGAATAAAGTCACTATATACTGAAAACACCACGAATAAAAAAGTTGAAATTCAAAAAAAGTCAAATCTACTGCTATATCATGAATTGCACAATACATTAAGGAGATTTCTCCCAGGTATTTGAAAACTATTATTCGAATTTGTGAAAGAATGAAAAAGTGAAATTTTGAGTATATGACTATATTTTCTTAACTAAAATACAACATCAACTCTCATTCATTTTGAAATTCCATTGGGTACATCAATTGCAGTTTTAGGTTATCTATGGATATAAGAATTCAGAAAAAGTCAGCAACAGTATTCTATGAGATTCAATTGGCAATAGGAAATTGACCATAAAGAATATTGCATATTTAAGTATTACTTATCAGTTATCTGCTACACATCCTTTATATGGATACAATTTTTAATGAACATATATATATATATATATATATGCAAATATTAGTGCATTTTTTCAGGGTTGGTTATTAAATATTTACCAGGGTACCACTGAGTAAAAATCATACAATATTTTAACAGTGAAATATGGTGTGGGGAAGTTGGGAAACTTAGTGATTAAATTGTAGAAGTAAAACCTAGAACCATAGATAACAGACACTGAGTTTCAACGAGAAAGTCCTCTCAACAAACCAACTGTAGGACCACTGTGTACTGGAAGGCAAGAGTGTAATAAAAATTGGTGAAGTTACCGCTCAACGAGAAATTTGAAGAAATGCAGGTTTTTGTTTCATTTTCCTTTTACCAATCTCTATTTAGGAGGAAATTTAGGAAGAATTTAAGATTATGATTAATAGGCCAAGAAACCTGTCAGTAGCATTGTGGTTTGTTAATTTGCAAATTTTATATGTGAAGAGATAATAAGATGGACAGTCTTCCCCTTCCTTTCTCCTTCCACTTGGGCTCACACACATCCACATTGGGAGAATGTTTTCTAACACAAAGCACTACTGCTGTGTGAACCATACAGGGAACAACTCAGCCGCTGCCCTGGTCTCACTCTTCAGGATAATAAGCAACAGACCTGAAGGTGAAGGCAATGTGCCCCAGACCTTGCCCTGCCAGTTCTCACAGGACTTTACTTACTATCAGCCTGGAGGTCTTTCCAAAATGCTTCCAGAAACTCAAGATGCTAGCATGCAGGGCCTCCCTTCCCTGTGAGTGCCATTCACCAAAATTCCCTGTGTAGTCTGATACTAAGCTTTGCATTTTTTTGAGTCACAGAGGAGCAAACAGCGTAGCTGCCTTCTACTCTCAGTAACAGAAAACAACAATTTGACAAGAATTGAAGACAGGGAAAGTTCACTTCTTATGACTCAGACAAGGATCTATATATTCACGGTTAACCTCTTCTTCTCTCTCCGACTCTCACTGAGTCAGCCTTCCATCTGTACAGCCAATACCTAAGATAAATCAACTTACAAAGATGAAGTGTTCATCTTGGTTCCCAGTGTGGGAGATCACAGTCCACGGTTGGTCCGCTCCATGGCTTTGAGGCCCGTGGTGAGGCAGCACACCATGGCGGGAGGGTGTGGCACAGAACCTGCACACACTGCGATGGGGAGGTGAGAGGACAGTGGAGAAAGAATGGAGACTGCTGTCTGGTCTGTATTTTCTGGTGTTCAAATATGCAGTGCCTGAGATCTGCATCTGTCATTTGTCCATCTGCGCTCACTGTTTGCACCATCTTCCAGGAATCATGTAAGCACTTAGAATCTTTGAAGAAGTGCTCTTGAAGATCCATGATCTAGGGACAAGGCATTTGCTATGCATGCATACTTATATTGTATATGTAAATCATGGGAGAAGGAATTGGAGTTAGAAAGGTACACTATCTGTACTGACCTATGTTCCTTTCCATTTTTGAAATTTTAATATTCTTATGGATTTTTTTATGTTTGTTATAATGGCCTTTTGTGTCTGTTACCTTTTAATGCAGGATCCTAAGTTCCTCCACTCCCTTCTCCTCCATACTAAGGAAAAAAGATGGCTGGAGTGTATAAATCAATGGTCCAGACACTTACCGGACCACTCCAAGAGTATCTCTACCTAAATCATGAGGTTTAATTTTGGGGGGCATTCTCTTTCTCTCTCTCCTCCTCCTTACCTGATGCTGCTCTAAAATGAGACATTGGTATCTGTCTTAGTTACTGTCTTCATTGTTGAGACTAAATATATGATATCCAAAGTTAAAGGAGGAAAGATTTATTTTAGCTCACAGTTTGTAGAGGTTTCGGTCCATAGTTAGTGGACGCCAAGGCAGGGCAGCATGGCAAAGGGGCACAGCAAAAAAGAAACAGTCTTTGGCAGGGCAGGCAAACAGTAGCGAAGTAGTAACCTCCCTTTCCCTTTTATTCCATTCAGGCTACCAGCATATTGGTTGATGCCACTCACACCTAGAGTGGGCCTTCCCATGATCCACATCCAGAACTAAACCAATCAGTGGACTAATTTTATAATCATACACCATTAATCTATATTCACACACCCTAGATCCATTCACCTACCAAAAGCCCCACCTGTGAATGCATGAAGCTTGGGGAGGGGTGGTATCTAGATACAAGCCATAACAGTATCTCTCTTTAAGTTTATGTGCTTCTCTATCCTTTGAAGTGTGAATTACACCTGATCTAATGTACCTTGACATAAGTTTCCTTGAACTCAGGTAAATCTATCTATAATATCCTCTGTATATGGAGGACTCAGTTATGTAAAACTTTTGAAGACTTAGAGAAAAAAACCCTCAAGAATTTCCTCATGTTAACTTTTACTGTTGTAAGCCACTTACATTGTCACTAGCCAGAGAAAACTAGGTGCATCAATTAATTCATTAATGTGGACATTAGTTGCCTCTCTAACATTTCTGCCCCCAGCTTCCCAAATAGATTACACAGACAGCTTAGAGGGCTGTATAGACTTCCCAACTTAGTGTAGCAAATCAAGGCAATGCTGCCTCTCTGGTGAGTGAATGATACAGGAATAAAGCCCACTGCAATCATTGGCTACTGGCGGTCCATCAGACACTCAGAGGCACTGCTGGGCACTGCAAAGCACCTGTTGTTTCTCTTTGCTATACGTGGTATGATATGTGGATGCAGCTGAAACTTATAGGTGAGAAGAGTTAAGAGATATATATAGAGGGGAAGCTGGAACCCTCATTTAAAAAGTGCCTGAAATGTACTCAATCTTTACACTTTCTAATTGCATAATTCTCTTTCATATTTTAGGTAGTTTGAACTATTTTTTTCCTCTTACTACCTGGACCATCTTAACTGATGCTCAGCATGATGTGACCTTAGAGCTTGGAAAAGTATGTCAATAACTCAGTACTCTAAGAGAGAGTAAACAGTTGTCTGGCTTCTTTGTCTGTATGTGTTTCCCCTCCTAGGACCATTCCAAGTCCTGGCCGACTCTCAACCACTTCACCGGAGAAAACGTGAATAACATTCTCCGCTTCCAACATTCCTCTCTTATTAATTCTTCTTGTCCTGCACCGCATAGTCCCTGTACATATTGTCCAAATAATCCTTCAATTTCCCTTTGGAGTAGGAGAGGAACAAAACAGGAGGGAATAGGTGAAGAGGATTAGCCAGATGTATTTTTCTGACAATTAACAGAAAGATTTGAACAGTTCAAATTCAGCCCTTTCCTGTTAAAGAATACTAGTTGATGATGTATTTAGTTGTATTTTTCTGACATGTGTTTTTAATAATACTGATGATGACATGAAAACCCCCCAAAGTTGATAGCATACAGAAAAATGCAGTACTAACCAGGATTTTTCTCCCGGCAATGCTAGTGAGTACATTTTCAGGATGACCTGGGGTCAGTCTCCATCATCAAAATCTTGCTGTTCTGAACACTTTTCTGCTGAGGGCATTTCCTTCAAAGAAAAGAGAATTATTCACTTAGAAGAACTCTGCCTGTGCCTTTACTATGAGTTGCAGCCATAGGATAGAAATGGTCATGGGATATTTTCCCACTATTCGCTGTACCTCATTAAATTGTTTACTGTCTACTTCCATAAGTGATTATTCTTTTCACAAATGAAATATTTTGTCAGCTGTGATTAAAAATATGGCCATGTTAAGAGAAGTGTCTTGGTTATCTGGGAAGTTAAAGGGGAAGTTTCCAAAAGGAAGGACTCTGAACAATGGCTGGCTCTTGACATGATCTTAGAAGAAGTGATCTTTAACATCTCCTCCTAGCTCTTCATATGATGTTTCTGCTATTGGGCTCACCTGAGCCCCACTTGGAAATCCATTACTCTAGGGTTCTGTGTTCCCCCACTGCAGCATTTGGGACCCTGACTCTTGTCTTGTTTAGGAGAATTCTGACATGCCCTTCTCACCTTTACAGCCCATCTTTTATAGGACAACAATAACAGATTAACTGAAAATTCATAAAGAGGTTTGTTTTTTAAAAATTTAAAATGCAAGTTCATTGTAAAAAAGTCAATTATAGGAAAGATTTCACCAAATTCCACATTCCAAAGTTAACTATTCCAGATTCCTTTGCAAATACTTTTCTTACAGGAACATGTATCTCTATATCTAGGTATATATGATATATTTTAAAATATTCAATATATCATCTGTTCCAACATAATACATAAGTGATTATACTATGCCTATCATTTTGTAATCTGCATTTTCATTGTTACAAATAAATTGGATTTGCTTATCAATAAATTTGTGTATATTTTATGATTATTAATTATTATGAAAGAGCCACATGCATTGATATTTCATAACTTACCTGCAATAAGTGGACATTTTATATGATTGCCCAATTATTTCTTGTCATGAAATTGCTGACTTGAACATATGAGTGCTTCTCAATCCTTCTATCCATGTAGGTATTTTTAAATTTAAAGTAATAGCTTTACTGAACTAAAATTTCCCCTCTGTACAATCTACAAAGTTCAAGTGTAAGATTCAGTAGATCTTAGCAATTTGACAAAGCCGTCCATCCACATGGGTAATCTTTGTCTATGGTACATTCTCAGAGGGCAGCTTCAATATCATGAGGTGTAGATACTTTTCATAGTTTTTAATGCATATCCAGAGAGTTGTCCCAGTGCATACTGCCAGCAGTAGTTGATGAGTCAGATTAGGTGTTGTCAATTTTGAATGTTATCATCAGGAGTAAGTATCAGAGCGATCATGAAGATGTCACTTTTGCTACCAGTCAATTACCACTCAACATGATCAATGGTGATCAGTACTGTACCATTGTGTCGACCACTGTCTTGAACAGAAAGCAAAATTATGGATGTTATCATGACCTGCAGCCCTTAATAGAATGACATGAATTACCACTAAATGGTATTTGACTTAAAGGGTATCAGGCAGAGCATGCATAATGCATTTGGAAACCAAATTCATCTTAGCAAAAATTGAACATAATATTTATTTTACATAATTTTATATCACAGCATTAATAGCCAGTGCATTCTCATTAGCCCAAATGGGAAAGCCTTGATTGAATTTTCACTTTGGTTTCAGGCCTGTATTTCTCACCTCGTGAAGAACATGTCTACCTTAAGCTAAATAATTATGCGATCCAGCTCCTCCACAGTCCAAGTTCCACAGGACCCCCAATTGTCCTATTTCCTAAGAGTGCTGCTGCAGTCTTTTTTCCAGGCTCAACAGATGTGAGCTGTCCTTCACACATCAAAATTGTTGCAACCCTCTCTAACATCTCTAAATTCTACTCCCATAAATAAAATCCACGCTTTACATCCTTCTTGGAACACTAGACTTTGCCAGTGTCCTCCATACATGGATTCCCCCATTTCCCATTCCCTTGCTATTTTATGACTAGTTAATTTCTCTAACTCACAACTCTGACTCAGCTACTCCACATATCATATGCTGTAAGTGACTCCCAAGTGCTTTCTGGAATAAATTCAAATCTGACCTGGCTCTGGACATCTGTATGCCATTATCCATGTCCGCTTTCCTGCGATGTGGGCACATTCTTTCCCACTTCTCCTCTGGGTGCATTAGCCAGTCTAGCTGGATTGGAACATTCCTGTCCTCTAAGCACATTACCCCCCATTTTTAGTCTACAAAGATTGGCCCCTATTATTCCTTGTCCAGGATACTTCTCTTGCTCACCTCCCAGTCCAATGCCTTCACTACCTGTTCTGCCTTCAGTGTTTATTTTGTATTTTAATTTAGAAAAATCCAGAAACCTTCAGCTAGCAAATTTCTACTTTTTACTTCATCTTTAGACAATGTCTTGGGATGTTTTGTGCTGTTACAGTAAAACTCCCACAGCTGGATACATCCTAAAGAATAGTTTATTTGGCTAGCAATTCTGGTGGCTGAAAAGCCCAAAGCATTGTGCCAGCATCCGGTGAGGACTTCCTGGGGACGTCATGATATGATGGAAAAGAATAAGGGGAGAAGTTTTGCACAAAGAGAGATTCAGGGCCAGTACTAAGCATCTCATGAAAACCCATTCTCTTGAGTACTAACCTAGCCTCAAGAGATCTAGAATTCCTGCAGGGCAGCATTAATCCATCTTTAAGACCTAATCAGCTCTCTAAAGCCTTCACCACCTACATGCCACTCACTACACTGGGGAATCAAGCCTCAACTTAAATTTCGGTGGGGACAAGCCACATTTGAGGAGTAGCAGACATCCATAGTTCCTTGGTTCCTCAGAACCGTGATCAGCCGGTTCACCTTCTTGGGAGCAGAGCCTGCTGTTCCTTGACTCTTCTGTCACCCAGTCTTGAGCAGAGCAGTTGCTCTAAAATATGTCCTGGAGGCAGGAAGCCAGCAAAGTGTAGATGGGTAACCCAGTGGGCTACGTCATAGGAAAACTTGCTTTAACACTTTGAAAAACGACTTTCCTTCATAGAAAATAAAGCTAACATCACATCAGATATTCAAAATTATGTGATGTAATGTGCACTTTATTATTTTCTTATTTATTTATTTTAGTTTTTTGAGACAGGGCCTAGCTATGTAGTCCAGGCTGGTCTTGAACTCACAGTGATCCTCCTGCCTCAACTTCCCAAGTGCTGGGATTACAGGGGTGCATTACCACACCAGTAATGTACACATTTATAAAAATCTCAGAATCTAGGAAATCATCATGGGTTTTCCCACAAGATCAGTTAATTCTATGATGGAAACTTTTATTTTTATTGCCTGCTTTTAATAGGCCAGTGCTGTAATAATGCTTTGCCTCATCATCTTCTATAGTAACTGAGAAAGATATTCAGAAATCACCCCCCCATACACAAAGTAGCCAGCATACATATCTTTCTGAAAAGAAAGAAAATACTTCCCTTTAAATTGTATTTTTTACTCTTTGCTGAAGCTCTCACTTCTCAGAGATTTGCAACAGCTTTCCTTTCCTATCTGGCATACCCTACATTGAATGAGTCTAAAGTATAAATAATTTACTCTATTGATTAAGCTGTTCTCCCAACCCCCAAAAGAAGAATAAAGAGTATAAGCATAAACTAGTTAAAAGATTTATGATCTTTTGTTTCGGGGTTTTCTTTAGTTCTCATATTTTTACTCACATTTTGGAGAAGTTGAATTACAAATTTATTCTAGTGTCCTACCAATCAGTAGGTTTACGTTGATCCATTTTTCAAGATTAAAAGTTGTCAGTCTTGGCTTCATAGACCTCATGTCCATGAAATTATTTCAATTATGATTCTAAAGCATGCTCAGGAGCCTTCTGTGGCTCCCCAGTACCATCAAGATCTGGCCCATTTGTGGCTTGCTCACTCCTTTGGTAGTCCAACCCTTTCCATCTTTGCTTCCAGAGAGAAGGACTCAAGCATGCAATGCCAGTCTATGGCATTCATTTTAATCCAGTAAGCAGTTGGGAACCTTGCACATTCGCTACTGGCTATAGCTCAGTCAGAGTCGTGGCTCAGAGAGAAAGAACGAGGTGGCAAACACAAGCCCTCTACAACAGAGATGGACACTCAGCAGCATCTCTCCTGGATCCGTCTCTCCTGGTACATTTGTCTGCAGTGCTGTTTAGTGCTCCGAACCCTGCTCAGCCTAGAAAGTTCCTGTCCAATGCATGGAACCGTTCCAAATGATGACATCTTGAAGGGACAGATGACTCTCAGATATTCTATAGCACCAACGGTCTGGGCCTACCCTAAAGCATTCAGATTAGGTTTTTAATGGGGTTTTAGTGTATGCCGTTTGTTTTTTCATTTAGATCGTATGTTTCTTGAGAGCTGTGATTATATTGTACACATCTTTAGAAGCAAGTGACAAATTCGTCTAATGAATTTAGTGTAGACGGGTGTCAATGTTGAGCAAATGACATTCAAGCACGACAAAGGTATATTTGGAAATGATGGCTGCTCGGTTATCTCTGGCTCCCTCTAGTGATGTCCAGAACCTGACGTCCTCCAGCATATTCCTCTTTCAGTCCATCTGTTGGCATTTTACAATGCTCAGGTGTGATGAAGAGAACAAATGCACTACAAGCAAGAAATAAAAACCACAGTGACCACATCCTAATGCATAAATGTCTTATTACATAATAGTAAGAGCTATTAGAAACGTTCTAGATTTTCTTGCTAACCGTAGCGAACAGCGCGATCATTGCTTTCTGTTGTTAGAGATGAGGAGACTGAGGTGCAGTAATGTCAAAGCCCTTATTGAAGGACACGGTGTGACTTTCCATTATTTCACAGTGGGCACTCTGGAGCACGTAATGGGTGTGTTGAGACTCTGGAGTAATTGGGCTGTCAGGCTGCTGTGCCTTAGCCCTAAATCTTATTACAGGTCTTAATCGAGGATGTATGGTTCTGAAAACCACGTAGGTGTAGCAGATAGTACTCACTGTAGATGGGAAAAAATTGAAAAGCTACATGCAGCCGCAGAAAAAGAAGCAGACAGAATCTTGTTATCTTGTGCTCAAATCTGCAAAAGAGTTATCTATGTCAGAATAGGCCTTATTTTGCAACTTTGCCTATAAATAGGCATAATAAAACAAGTGATTTTCATGGTAGCAACATATGTACATCTTCATCTGTTAGTAGCACAGTTTAAATTGAAACAGTGCCATTTAAACTAGGAAAATAGTTTTTAATGTTAACATTAGCATCGATCCCATATTGTAGAGAGAATCTTACCCACACACAAAGAATAAAGCGCACTTTTCTTTTCAAAAAATAATAAATATCATTCCTATTCTATGTCACCTTCATGCAGGGAGGTAAAAGTAAATAATGTGACTTTTATATGAAAAAAGGCTAGATTTTCAATATCAATTTATTTTGGAAATATACATTGTCTCTAGCTAGACAGCACCAATGTTTTTTGAAAAACAAAATTTAGACCCCTAGGCCCCACCCCTCATACATTATTATTAACAAAAGGCATCTGCTTCCCATTAACATTGAGAGGAGAAATCTGTCTTAGAAATGATGGTTTGAGTTGAATTGTAGGCCAGGAAAATTAGCCATCCCTTTGCCTCACATGCATTTGTAGTTAGGTTAATCATCAGCAGGGCCCCTTTCTTTCTCTCTCTCTCTCTCTCTCTCTCTTTCACACACACACACACCTCATAAAAAACTATAATTTAAGTAAAGTAATATGAAATTCTGTTCACTGTATTTAGGGAAGTATGCCACATGTGCGTGTGAGACTGTGTGTGTGTGTGTGTGTGTGTGTGTGTGTGTGTGTAGACAGAGAGACAAAGGGAAGACAAGAGGAAGACCTTGGAAAAAAAGCCCTCATGTTGCCATTCACTGCAAATGCTTTATCTGCTCTAAGGACATCAGATCTTACAACTTCTCCATGGACTTATAAAAACTACTTTTAGGATTATTGAGGTGCTTGGAAATTCAGTCAAAAATGAAATGATTTCTCATTTGAAAAAATAAACTGGAATCTGAAGGCTGAGTGAGAGGCATCCAGGGGAACTAGGCAGCAGCTGCCAAGGGCTGTAACTTGATGTGGAAGGCAGAGAATTTAGTGTCCAGAGCCCAGAAGTCCAAGGAGAGCCTAGCCCTGAAGCCGCTCTCTGCCAATGACTTGTTCTGTGACCCTAAGAAAATCACTTAGGTTTTCTGAGCCTCCTTTTCCTCACCTGTAAGTGATGATATTTATTTCACAGGACTATGGTGAAGATTAAACTAAGTAAAACCTTCTCATTGCACTGCCATCCAGAGTGCTGAGACCCACAGAATGGTTGGATGTTCTCAAAGCCCATTTGTTGCCCTGTTTGGTTCCTCTTAGCTTACGTTGGGAAGGCTCCCAGTCTGTCACCTGCTTAAAATACCTGCACAGAGCCTCATTATTCTTACATAAGGGCAGATCCTGATTACCTTAGATGAAATTGGACAAAAACATCAGAAAATTCAGTTCCACCTGGACCAATTAAATAATGGCTCATTCATCTACATTTTGATCCCTGAGCCAGAAGGAAGTTGAATGCTGACCTTGACCTGAAGACCTTATGAAGACACATGTGTCCCTTCCTTGCCAAAGAAGGAAGATCAAGTTGGAGTGACAGTTCCTACTTTCTTCTGGCCTCGAATTAGAAGGTGTGGACAGTCTGTGACTTACAGTGGTCTGACTTACATTTTTTGACTTTACAGTGGTACAAAAACCATACATATGCATTGAGTAGAAACCAGATTTTGAAATTTGATCCTTTTTGCTAGGCTACAAGTATGCAGTTGGATTTTCTCTCATCAGTGCTGGACAGCAGTAGCCAGTTGCAGCTGAGTCAGACACACAATCGCAAAGGAAAACAGCCAGCACTGCATGGTGCAGTTGGCTGCTGAGCTATGTTGGTTTAGCATATTTTCAATTTAAAATCAGTTTATTGAGGCACAACCCACTGTAAGTCAAGGAGCACCAGTATTTTGTGTGTACCTTCTTTGCTTGCTTTCTTGCTCCCTTCCCTTTCCTCCTTATAAAACCCTTTCCCTGCAAAACACATAAGTAAATAAGAAGAATTTAGTTATGGAAAATGTCAACTTAGTTTCCTATTTTAATAAAATACACCCCAAAATTAAGTAGCGAAACAGTGTTTTCAGAAAACAGAATTCTTGTATGACAACCTTGATTATGAAATCTCATAGTCATGGCTACAATCTGAAACAAACCACTGAAAGCCCTCTGAGCAATTATACTAAAGTGGAAGTTGAGGGAGAAGAAAACTGTTCCACAAAAAGCTTATTAGATATTCCCACAGGGAAAGTGATGTTATGGTCCCATAACCACATGCTTTGAAACCAGTGGCTCACAAAACAGGGAATCAATGGAATCAGGTTTATTTCACACTCTTGCTTCATTTAGATTTAGGGTCCAGAAGTGAACAGTTTATAATATGTGGCCAGATGAGCTCAGGAAGGCAGCTGAAAGAATAAAAGAGGCAACCAAGAGAGGTAAAATACAAAAAAACAAAAAAGTAAAACAGGTCAGAGTATAAAAATGTTCTTATACAGTTAATGGAAACAGAAATAATGCCACGGCAATATGGAAGACGGGCAAAATGAACCCTGGAATTTCTGTCATGCACGAGAATTGTTACACCCAGTGCTCTGCAAATCACAGTTGTAAGAGTTCTCTTGGATGAGATCCACTGACAAGAGTTATCTTTAGAAATTGTCTTCAGTAATCCAGGGATGGGAAGAAAAATCTTAAACAGAGTTTTAGGGCAGAGAAATTATCCTTGACCAAACGCCAACAGTCGGCCAAACTCCACGCCAAATGCTTTCAATTTTGCTTAAGTCTTAACAGTTCTATGCTTCTGATATTGTTACCCCCTTTGGCAGATGAGATACTTAGTGTTGGTACAATTAAACAGTGAGCCCGAGGGAACATGACTGGTGAGGAAGAGCTGAAATTTTAACCGAGATCTGGGTGACTGTAGCGCTTCTTTCCCTGTGAGAATCCAGCTTCCAGGTGAGGGAGGAGGCCACAGGATGCCTCCATCCTCTAGGTAGCTGTTCCCCACCCAAGTCTTTATTGTCTTAGCAGCTGTGGGGCAGGGTTAGGCCATCCCTGCTGCACACTGTCTAAATTCCCTATTCATTTTCAAATTGCTATTAATCCTTCCTGCCCCCCAAGGACCATAGCAGAGAAATCAGAAACAAATGTGAACCCGCCTTAAGCGGGAAAAAATTGCTTATCCTAGTGTTCACTTTGCTGTGACGCAGAAACACTCACTTTGGAGTTGAGGAAGGGCTGTAGGAGAGATGGAGCTCAGCCATCTATCATGCGTGGGGAGAGGACAGAGTCATTGTAATTGTCCCCCATAAAAAGAACCCCAGACAGGAGGTAGAAATAAATAATCAGGAACCTGGGGCAGAAGCCAAGGGTCTCAGAGAGAAAGAGTATCTACACTTTTAAACAGATGGGAGATAAATTAATAGCTTTTGGCATAGTACTGCAATGTATTTATTATACAATTGGTTCCTGGGGTTGCTTGGAATGGTGGCCTGGTGAGGAAGGAATAGCTGGGGAAGGAGGTTGGATAGAACTAAGTTTCTATCCCTCTCAGAGCCTGCCATACTCTACCCAAATGGAGTTAGGTGATTCTCAGCCTTGCATTTAGGAAACGCCTGTAATCAACTAAAGAGCTAAAAGTTAGGTCCTGGAGGGAAAGTGTTCACAGTGAAAGGAGTTGTTGTTTTGAAAGAGATGTAATGGAAAGACAGAGAAAAAAGCATCTGCTAAGTGTCTTTTGAGATTTTTGGTGAAGCGAAATACGAATCTTTTGTTACCATGTGTATCATCCTTGCACTTTCCCTAGGTTTCGCAGTGTCATATTCCTGGCATTCCTAAGTATTCAGCTCAAGTTTTGCTTATTTCCCAGGCATTTGTTTGGCATGAATGTGTACCAGGCAACATGTTTGGTGCTACCAATACACACACTTTGCCTTCCTCGTGGAACGGGACAGACGGACATGAGGAGATAATGGCAGGATGTCCTAAGGAGTCTGCAGCAAGGACACACAAGCCCAGAGGCCAGTCTCTAAGTCTCAGGAAACAGGAAACGGCTTCCCTGGGAAGCTCTTGAGTGCCGTTAAGAGTGAAGAGGGTGAACAGGGAGAGTAGTGATGACGAGGGAACAGGCAGGCAGAGAGAACGAGATCATCATCAATTCCTGTGGGTGCTAGGGACATGGGAGAGATGAGAAACAAGAGCTTTCTGGGAATGGTCATGGTTCAGCCACACTTCCTAATATGACACCTGTAGCCTCTGCCATAGCTACTTGACTATTACTCAGTCTCCCTGGCTTGGTTTTGAGCCCTTTGAAGGAGGCACCATGTCATTTATCAGAGTATCCTCGAGGCTGTCTAAGTACCTGGCAGGTTCAGCCTGTGCCTCCTGATTGAGCTCCCACCTACACTTATCATCAGCACAAAGACACGGTATGAGCAACACCAACAGATCACCTATTCAATAAAGTGAGTCTCCAACTTGACTTTGAAGCCCAAGATGTTACTAGAATGAAATGTTGATCACTACTACTCTGGTGTCACTGATTCATCTCTGAACCCTGGTTAACCCCACAATACAATACTTATTCCTTATTTGGACAGAACCGGGTTGAACTTGGCTTTGGCTCCTGCCAACTGACTGACCTGAAGCAATTCTCACTTCTTTCAATACTGTGAATCATAGCTGTGAAAAGGGGAAGACTGTACATCCGAAGACTTGCTGTGAGGATCAAGCAAACAGAGGATTAAAGTCACTTTGTAGCGTTTGGTGTATAGAAGGCCCTCAAAAGGAGCTGGAGGTAGTTCCTTGGCTCTTTTCCCTTCCTTCAAAATTTTTTTCTTTTCGCAGCCATCTTGAAGGCCACATGGAAGAGAGCTGAATAACTAACACAGCACCTGTCTCATCGTGGTACCCACCCCATCCCATTCTATATATATAACATTTCCGATCCTTTCAGAGTA